ATGTCAAATCATGTGCTGATCATTCAGGTCAAATCATGTGCTGATCATTCAGGTCAAATCATGTACTGACCATTCAGGTCAAATCATGTGCTGACCATTGATGTCAAATCATGTGCTGACCATTGATGTCAAATCATGTGCTGACCATTGATGTCAAATCATGTGCTGACCATTGATGTCAAATCATGTGCTGACCATTGATGTCAAATCATGTGCTGACCATTCAGGTCAAATCATGTGCTGACCATTGATGTCAAATCATGTGCTGACCATTGATGTCAAATCATGTGCTGACCATTGATGTCAAATCATTTGCTGACCATTGATGTCAAATCATGTGCTGACCATTGATGTCAAATCATGTGCTGACCATTGATGTCAAAATATGTGCTGATTATTCAGGTCAAATCGTGTGCTGACCATTCAGGTCAAATCGTGTGCCAACCAAAGATGTCAAATCATGTGCTGACCATTTATGTCAAATCATGTGTTGACCATTCAGGTCAAATCATGTGCCGACCATTGATGTCAACTCATATGCTGACCATTGATGTCAAATCATGTGCTGACCATTGATGTCAACTCATGTGCTGATCATTCAGGTCAAATCATGTGCTGACCATTGATGTCAAATCATGTGCTGACCATTGATGTCAAATCATGTGCTGACCATTGATGTCAAATCATGTGCTGACCATTGATGTCAAATCATGTGCTGACCATTGATGTCAAATCATGTGCTGACCATTGATGTCAAATCATGTGCTGACCATTGATGTCAAATCATGTGCTGACCATTGATGTCAAATCATGTACTGACCATTGATGTCAAATCATGTGCTGACCATTGATGTCAAATCATGTACTGACCATTTATGTCAAATCATCTGATGATCATTCAGGTTAAATCATGTGCTGACCATTGATGTCAAATCATGTACTGACCATTGATGTCAGATCATGTGCTGACCATTTATGTCAAATCATGTGATGATCATTCAGGTCAAATCATGTGCTGACCATTGATGTCAAATCATGTGCTGACCATTGATGTCAAATCATGTACTGACCATTTATGTCAAATCATGTGCTGTTTTCATTGATGTCAAATCATGTGCTGTTTTCATTGATGTCAAATCATGTGCTGTTTTCATTGATGTCAAATCATGTGCTGATCATTGATGTCAAATCATGTGCTGACCATTGATGTCAAATCATGTGCTGACCATTTATGTCAAATCATGTGCTTTGCCATTCAGGTCAAAACATGTGTAATAAATCTTTTTTTTAAATAATATTTATTATGTTGTTCTTGTTTATATTTCAGGGTGTTCAACAAGTTCTGAATACTTTACTGATATCTCATGTAGAAATCAGAACTGAAGATTCCATTGATATACAACCATATGTTCATCAACGCAAAGTTGATAAAATTGTTGTGAAACTTGATGATACAATGATGTGCATTAAAAGCCAATATCTAGAGGTTAGATACAAATCTCTTATCATATATCATTTTGCAAATATATCAATAAAAAGGTTATACTTCTGCCGATTTTTAAAAACCATTGGTTCATGTAACTTGCAAATGCGTGTCTACTGATGCACTAAAACTGTTCATGCCTTATCTGTATAAATTAGCATATAATTCATGTAACTATGTAAATCATAATTTTTCTATCTTTTATTCATATCACTTATTTATACTATAGAGCACAGCTGGTTGACGCTCATCACATCATGGTTCATGGATAAACCCATGACGTCAGTCGTATCAACCAGCTCTATAAACAAGTCATATTACAACTATTTGGACCCATTGTCCCATAATTATCAAACCTGTTTAGCATGTAGCTTGAATTATTATACTCCAAAACTGATTCTACACTCAATCAACACAGTCTAAAATACTCCGCCTGATTTATTTATTTATTCATTCATTCATTCATTCATTCATTCATTCATTCATTCATTTATTTATTTATTTATTTATTTATTTATTTATTTATTTATTTATTTATTTATTTATTTATTTATTTATTTATTTATTTATTTATTTATTTATTTATTTATTTATTTATTCATTCATACTACAACAATGTACCTGTACAATTTCAACCTTTGATATTGTTTTGTTTTTTGGTGAATAAAATTTCATTTATTCATTCATATCAACCTTATAATATCATCTCATGCATATAATATGAAATGTATATATGTGAATTTCTGTTTGTGTGACATAATACTCTTGGCTAATTCAGGATTCTTTTTTTAGTATGTATTTTAATATCTCTAAAAAAACTTACTGTTCTCTACTTTGTAGAACAACTTCAATTCCTTCTTTGAATTCCTGCATTATTATCTTTACCCAGATTATTGCTGTCTATGTGAATAGGCTGACCAAAAACCATGTACTTTACAATAGAAGCATCACCAGTCACTCCAAGTTTATGATACTGAAAGCGAGAGAAGAATTTCGTTGCAATCCACCTCCAAATATAAAGGTATGCCTTACATACTATATTAACCATATTAATTTCTGATCTATTCACATAATGTTATTGTGTACAATAAGAGGTTATATTAAATTCACAAATGACAAAGACTGATCATGGAGGTAAAAGACAGAAGGAGTTACAACTGGTTGAAGCCTATTAAATTTACTTTGTTTCTAGTCGAGTTATTCCTCTTATCTTGTCTGTTTAAACGTCTTTTGATGCCAATGATTATTTCCGACGCTAACATTCACTGTCCTTGTAACCAAGGGCTGGTCTTTTTTTTTCTTGGTTGCTATTCGATATTTTACGAGAATAAAAGTCATTTTACTTGCATGATTCATCTAGAAAGAATGCTATTGTTATGACAAGTTTATTAACGTTTGAATTTGATGTTGTTTTTTTCTTGGAATTATTTCAACTGCTGTTTTCGCAGGGTTGCACCAAATTAGCACATTTATGTGCCAGTTTAAATTAAAACCTTCTTTGCGCTCTTTTCAATGGTGTTAAAATTATGTCCCTTCAGAGTACTCTGCGCATGCAGTTGGCGATGGAAACTTGAACTGTTTTTGAGTTTTTTTGACGGTAACGGTATTGCATGACATGGTTTTGAGACTGCGGTTTTATTGCTTTCCATATATCCTCTTCAATCACGACTTAATTAATTTACTTCTGCTGAATTGAAACAATCGCGAACATGTACACAACTTTTCAGCTACGTCATTTTAAACAATGATCTTTTTGAATAATTCCGAGCGCTCTCGAAGTACGTTCGTTAGCTGTAGATAATTTGTTGTTAGCTGCTAGCTGAAATGATCATGGAACCTTTGATCCTAAACCAGTTGTACATGTAACTCCTTCTGTCTTTTACTTCCATGGTCTGATTTACATACTATTTTTGTGTTTATAAACAGATTTGTTCACTAAAGTAAATTTTGTTCAAATTACAGCAAATTTTGTCAGCTGGTGAAAAACATTGATTTATTTAGCAGTCTAAATATCACTGGTGTTGTAAAGAGACCTTACATACATCAACCTTATTATGCATTTTTTGTATTCAAACACTGGTGTATGTTTGAAGCCCAGTACTGGTGGTGTCAATATTATGATCATTGTTTTGAAACATGCCTGCTTTCCTGTATGTATGTAGATACCCTGTTAATACTGCAATATTAATGACTAATGCAGAATATTTGTGTTATTCTCTCAACTTGACATTTTAGAGTAAAATACAGCAAGGATCCATAGAAGGTGACTTTGCAATGTGCATTAGTCTATACCATGGGTATGATTTACTGTTACAACACGGTATGAAATCACTGTATTCATTCTTACAATCCTTGATTGATGGATCCAAAGGAACATCCAGGGCACGTTCAGAACTTGGTAGAAATCAGAACTTTAATAGTTTGCTTGAGTCTTTACATGAACAATGTGGATCTACTGAACTAAACCAGTGTGTTATAAGTCACCCCAAGATGAAAAAACTACAAGATATCGTTGTGGAACATTTTAATCAATTTGAGCAAGGTAAAGTATTTTGTTGACCGTCATTGTGCACAAAACTTTATTACCAATAGTCCACATTTAGATGTGAAAACAGGTTCAGATTGAACTCCATGTGTGCATGTGTATGTGCATCCAGCTGTATCTTACACATGCTTGGTTCGATCAAGTTCAACCTTCACACATACATCAGACATTATATTTGATGTATATACATGCATTTGTTTCATGATTTTGATCAAAATGGACTAAATGCAGCCATTTTAATGCCAAAAAATCGAAATCACTTATTTTCACAATTCTGGAACCTGATGTCAATTGTGTGTGGATAGATTTGGTTTAAACATGGTACATTTATTGAGCACAATATAGGGCTTTGGGGCTGACTGGCAGCCATCTTGTTTGAATGATTGCAATCCACAGAGCCATATCTCATACATTATCTGTCAATATTATGGATATAGCTTTGGCAGTCATGCCATATTTCATGCTATGATACAAACTGGGACTAGGACAACAAATGAGTGACATGTACTTTATTTGCTAATTTATTTGTATAAAAAAAAGAATATATGTTAAAATGTTTAAAAGAATAAATGCAGTTTGTATAAATATTTGACAGGTGTGGCCTTGAACTTGGTTTGTTTCATCATGGAGGTGGTTTCATTAACAATGTTTCACTGTTACGCTTGTCTGCAGATAAACATACCCATGGGAGTGGGACAAGAATTATGATATTTTCTCAGTATCGTGACAGTGTACAAGACATAACCAGTATGTTAGATAAACATAAACCAATGGTTCGTGTTATGAGTTTTATTGGCCAGGCTTCAGCCGGTAAAAGTACAAAAGGTTTTACTCAAAAAGAACAACTCAGAGTAAGTTATTTTGTGTAATCTGTTAAATATCTTCCACTAAAAATGTTTTCTGATTTAAAATTATTTGCATTTGTTGGATGAAGTTCATGAACTTCATGAACTCACTGTGATTCTTTAGGGAAAAAAGCATGTGTTAATTACTGCTGCCATAAAATTTCTGATTTTCAGACTTAAGTACGACTTTTATGAATAAAATTAATTAAATAAATAGGCATTTCTGGTCGTTGTGGTATGTTTATTTTGAGTTCTTACAGGAATCACTTTACATTCTCTGTATGCTTCTGTTCAAAACCATGTACGGTATAATTTTTATCCAGGTTGTTAAGGCATTTCGAGAAGGTGGATACAATACACTGGTATCCACATGTGTTGGGGAGGAAGGTCTTGACATTGGGGACGTGGATCTTATTATCTGTTATGATGCACATAAAAGTCCAATTCGATTGGTCCAAAGAATGGGACGTACTGGTAGAAAGAGGCAAGGTAGAATTGTTATGCTGGTAACTGAAGGCAAGGAGGAATCTGTAAGTATAATGCTGAAGTCAAATCTAAGTACCCTATTTGCTCTTTCCACTTTATTGTGTAGAATTACATGTAGTAAATGTTCTTGTACAAAAAAGAACACATAAATGCTGACCATTCATTTGTTATATAAGTACAAAAAAGAGGGGTCTCTAATCCTACCTGTGACATTCTCTGTAGCTTGTTTATTTGAATGTTCATAAAAAGAGGGGTCTCTAATCCTACCTGTGACATTCTCTGTAGCTTGTTTATTTGAATGTTCATAAAAAGAGGGGTCTCTAATCCTACCTGTGACATTCTCTGTAGCTTGTTTATTTGAATGTTCATTTATGTCTCTAATCCTACCTGTGACATTCTCTGTAGCTTGTTTATTTGAATGTTCATAAAAAGAGGGGTCTCTAATCCTACCTGTGACATTCTCTGTGGCTTGTTTATTTGAATGTTCATTTATGTCTCTAATCCTACCTGTGACATTCTCTGTAGCTTGTTTATTTGAATGTTCATTTATGTCTCTAATCCTACCTGTGACATTCTCTGTGGCTTGTTTATTTGAATGTTCATTTATGTCTCTAATCCTACCTGTGACATTCTCTGTGGCTTGTTTATTTGAATGTTCATAAAAAGAGGGGTCTCTAATCCTACCTGTGACATTCTCTGTGGCTTGTTTATTTGAATGTTCATAAAAAGAGAGGTCTCTAATCCTACCTGTGACATTCTCTGTGGCTTGTTTATTTGAATGTTCATTTATGTCTCTAATCCTACCTGTGACATTCTCTGTGGCTTGTTTATTTGAATGTTCATTTATGTCTCTAATCCTACCTGTGACATTCTCTGTGGCTTGTTTATTTGAATGTTCATAAAAAGAGGGGTCTCTAATCCTACCTGTGACATTCTCTGTGGCTTGTTTATTTGAATGTTCATAAAAAGAGGGGTCTCTAATCCTACCTGTGACATTCTCTGTAGCTTGTTTATTTGAATGTTCATTTATGTCTCTAATCCTACCTGTGACATTCTCTGTAGCTTGTTTATTTGAATGTTCATTTATGTCTCTAATCCTACCTGTGACATTCTCTGTAGCTTGTTTATTTGAATGTTCATTTATGTCTCTAATCCTACCTGTGACATTCTCTGTAGCTTGTTTATTTGAATGTTCATTTATGTCTCTAATCCTACCTGTGACATTCTCTGTAGCTTGTTTATTTGAATGTTCATTTATGTCTCTAATCCTACCTGTGACATTCTCTGTAGCTTGTTTATTTGAATGTTCATTTATGTCTCTAATCCTACCTGTGACATTCTCTGTAGCTTGTTTATTTGAATGTTCATTTCCAGATTTACAATCAGAGCCAGTACAATCGGAAGAGCATACATCGTTTGATGAATGGAACTAAGTCACTACAGCTCTACTCACAAAATGCCAGAATGGTACCGAGAGGCATTCACCCAGTTGTTCATAAAATGCATATTACTGTGGATAAATGGCAACCCAAAACATTGTCTAAACGGAAGCAATCATCCACTAGAAATACAGCTAATATAACTTCATTCTTGTCTAAAGGTAAGACTGTGTCATAGCTTAATGCTGTGATTTGCCATGTGATGAAGTGATATGCCCAGGAAATATCAATTATATTACACCAAGCCAAGATTTATAAAATAACGGTATGCAACATAGATGTCCATATAAGGTATTATGCCATGAAAATGCTATTCTGTACAAGTTTCTTGTGTGCTTCATTCACACTTATTTCTGACCAATTTCATCGCTTTAAAAGGTTTTCTGAAACAGAGTTAAGTGAGATCTTTGCCTTATGCAAAAACATGTAATATTCTAACTGTTAGTGCCACATAAAAAAGCATGTTTTCAACACTATTGGTAACCATTTATTTCACTGACTCACTTATTTGTGTTAGTATTTCTAAAAATGTATATATGTCATGCTATTTTCAAATGGGATATTCCATCACATATCACACAAATTGTATACTCTATATTACTTGTGTTCCAGTGATGGAGTACTTCACTATGCATTCAGAGATTATTATATATCATGTATTCCAATCCACTGTGACGCACAGTACATACGTCAACCACAGTCAGCTGGCGCACACGTGATAATAAAATAAATACAATATTTACTATATGGGGGCCGCCATCTTGAATGCAGCATAAAACTAAATATGAGACAGGTTATGAAACGCGTTTTTCAGATTCCTACAAATGTGGACAAAATGCCAATCTTTCACAAAAATACCATCTGTTAAGGTTATATTAAGCCAACCGATAACAAAATTCAGCCAAATTTGGCGTTTTTGTGTGGAAA